ATTATTTGGTGCATCTATTTTATAAGTGCTTTATGGAATTAAGATAACAGATAAAAGCAATAAAAATAAATAACTGAAAAACAAAACAGAACAAATAGTATTAGTTAGCCAAAAAATTTTTTTCTTTCTGCTTTAAAAGTGATCACTATACTGTTGCCAAAAAAATTTATTCCTGTAGACGTACAATAAGGATCATAATATACACAGTAGTTGTAATTTTACTGAACATTGTTCGTTCACTTTTAGACGTTTAGAATTATGTAAATTTGCCTAAGAATACTGTTAACTGTTTTTACAAAAAAAAACCTTACAGTATTTATCTTTTCTTTCACAAACTGATTAAGTGTCTCCGTGATTTAAGACCTACAAATTTTATTGTTAGAAAAATTTGGAAATTTAAAACAAAAAAACCTAAACAGATTTTAATATACCGTTAAAACTGAGATTGACGCCTGTTACAGAATACCAGTTTGCATTTTTTTAAAACTTGAAATAGCCAATTTGCAACCAATACTCTGACAGTACCACTGATGACCAACAATCAGACGTCCATATTTTATACCTTATAAAACCGTAGCCCAAACAGCCAACAGTTTCATGATTCGGTCACGCCAAATATCTGATTAAGTGTATGTTGTTTGGCGTAAGCAGATAGTTTTTAAACTATTGCTTCTTATCACTCTTCAGAGTAGAACAATGTTTGCATTCAATAAAATCGATCTTTTAAAGGTCTCACTACTCTCCTCCCCCCTTTCACCCGTACCTAAGTTGGTGTCGCCTTCTAACAGAATAAATTTTGAAAAAATTTATTGCCAACGTAAAAATTCCTTTCACATTTTGCTTCTTCCACTCATTACCCTGTAAAACAAATGCTGAGTTTCTGGTCTGCAATCTTGCGCAGGTAAACCAGTTAAAACTTCACCAGAAACTTCTCGTCACTTAAAGTCTAAAACTACTTATCAGGTGCATACCTGAAGTCGTCTTTATTTCTCAAAAATGCACAGCACATCCCCAACAACAGTAGCAGCTGCTTTTTTCTGTCTGTCAACAACTGCACTGCTGCTTCAAAATCCGGCAAAACGTCGTCTTCAATATAAGACAGCTTTATTCTTCCTACCCCCGTCTATCAATGGCAAATGCTTCTAAAATTAGCAGAAAACCAAAGTATACAAGAATTGTTTATTCTATTACTCTTATCAATCTATTTCTAAGCCCCATATATTTTTCAAAAGTCCTCTGAAAGACAATGACTATCAAACACTATAAAGTCCATCATACTTCTGGTGACATCAATCGCTTTTGATTAAAACTCCCAAAAGAAACTTTGACAGATATAAGTCCAAAGAAATAATTTGCTCTGCGCGTATTTCAGTGAGGTAAGTCCGAGACTTTAACACATACATTCAATACAATGTCCAATCAAAAACATTACAAAATAAACTAAGGAAAGCAACTAAATGGCAAAGTAAACAGTCATCTTTTAGCTAACAGCCAAGAAGAAAAACAATATACTCAACGTAAATCAATTAGGATATTAAAACATTGGAATTTCCTGTGAAAAATAAAAATATACAAACCCTTTCCCCACTGCTGTAAGCTTACAAGATACTGACTCATATGCTGAACAGATAAATAAAGCCACCAACCATTTAAAAACTCCTGACGTTCCGGTACCATAAAGGTTTTGAATTTATTAAATTATTAAAGAGATTCAACCCACAATGTAATCACGCCAAAAAAGTAATTAAACAAGTACCTCTGACTTCACCACTTGAATTCTTATAGCTCCCTCTTTTGAAAACACCTGCCATAAAAGTCTAAAATAATTCATGAGAATCTAAGCTTGTAAAGACCTACTTTTGAAAAATACTATACATGAGAAGTACAATGAATGCAAATAGGAAAAAATAATATTCTTTTTGAGCTCCGGAGAAGAAACACGCCTGTCTAAGGCAGGTCTTGTAGAAAAATACAAAATCAGTTACATGCATCGCAAAAATGAGGTTCACTTCCTTCTTGAATCGGTTGGTGGAGGATGACCAAAAAGATCTATGTTCTTCATCAGTTCCGACAAAGAACCTATCACGTGAGGATAATATTTTGGGACATTAGTCTCACTGAACCCTCTTTCCTCCGCAGAAATCTCCTCTATTCGCTTTAGCAACTTCTTTTTCTCTTCTTCTAACTCAGTGAGCCGCTCTTCCGTCTTGAAAACTTCAACTTTAGATACCATTTAACCAAAATGAAAATCAAAAAACATTTTATCCATTACATTTACCGCTGGAATAAAAACAAAAAACAATTTACTTTTGAAAAGTAATTTACCTTCCTATCAAACTCTTCAATCCCGTCTAAAAACTTTTCATGCAATTCAGCCAAACGCGCTTCCTTCTCTTTTTCCACACGTTTTGTTAACTGCGCCTCAACCCACGCTTTCCGTCTATTTTCTACAGTTTCTTCAGGAAGTTTTGGAACAATATAAGCAATTTTCAAATCCTCTAGAACCTAAAAGACATCTATTAAAGAACTCCATCAAAACACATTTACCCGACATTTATCAAAAATACAGTCAATTGAAGCAATTGGTGACTTGCTTTTTCAAAAGCTTCGCTGTCCGTTTCACGTAATAACCGTAAAAATTTTCTCCGGCAATCAATAGCAAGCTTAATTTTATGAAACAACCATCTGGGTTTCTGCAAGAATTTATAAAGAGTGAAAAACGACTTGTTCAAATTTATAGTCAGCTTATCAAAGGTAAAAGAAATCAAAATACCAGTGTACACAACTGTTAAAGAATAAATATCTAAGAGACTAAAAATTCAATAAAGCAAAATTACTCTGGGCTTATTGTCGATTTCTTCAACTAGCAAACTCCAATGTCGAATGAGAGCTGTTAGCCAAGCAACTGCAACTCCTCGACATTAATTAATGTAGCGCTGAGTATAAGTTCAAATTTACGACAAATTCATCTTCAATGAAAAAAAAAATTTACGAAACATAAAGCTTCCACAAAAAAAGCAAAAATAAACTACTTTTCATTTCTAAAGAGCTCTTATCCAGCGCATGCTTACGGACTTGACTAGTTAACGCTTTCTTCCAAGCATCTGTCAGATCGCGACGCGTACCATAGCCGACACTTTAAAAAGCATAGCTTCATGATGTATACTGTACAAAAATTGAAAAGAAAAAATTAATGATCCAGTACTCAAACCAAAAAAATGTTATGACGAAATGTCCGTGCAAAAAAAACTTTCTCAGCGAAAAATTTCTCATCAAGCGAAAAAGACAACTAAATGTAAATTCACTGATTGAGAAATCTTTGAAATACTGTTACGACACCAATTAATCCAAAAAAATAATAATCCTGGACCAAGTTAACTAAGTTATATCTGTTCAAAAGATTTTCTTTATTTATTCTACTAGACTTCTTCCCTGTTCTGATGCTTATCATATGTCAAATTGTCAAAACACTGGTTGTCAGCTAAATTAGAGGTGAAAATAAAATAAATGACCAACACACACGGCTGCCCATACCTAAAGATTCGCTTCACTGAATCTGGTGCCTTAGATAGCACGTCAATTTCTTCGTAACCAACCCTAGGCAATGCAAGATCGATTTTGGGTAACCAGTCGCTCGGACTTCTACCAACCAGTAAATCCTCTGCTTTATATCGTAAATCTTTTTCATACGCAACCTTATCTTCATAAAGAAGTTTTAAATTATCGATATAGTGGTCATCTAAAAGTAAACTAATTTCATTCATTTCTTTCCAACTCATCTATTCCAGAAGAACTTTCTAAGCAAACACATACTCTTTAAATGGGAACAACACTATAACGATAACCAATCCAAATGGACCAAAACAGCAGAAATACAAGAGACTATT